CTTAAGAACCTGTGCGCCAATGAGATACCTGTGCATCTCTAATGGCCTTAGGGCACTGCCCTAAGCTTAGGCTATTTAGATTCCCCCACGCCACGTGTCCGAGAGAGTTCGCCAGAGAGAGAGTTTGCCAGAGAGAGAGAGATCGCCAAAGGGAGATCGCTGGATTCCAGTGGCCAGCGCGCCAGTCTCCTCTTCCCGTGTTCCCGGAGAGACCACCGGCCCCGGGTGCAGCAGAGATGCTGTGCCCCGGGGCCGGCGGTGGGGGCCCCCTCCCCGCATTCCTGGAATAAAGCCACCGCTGCCCACTACTTTCACGGCCGTCCACTCCATTCCTTCCACGGACTTCTTCCTCTCTCCTCCCATCCTCCCCCTTCTCTCAGACCTAACATTTACCTATCTTATTTCTTTTATTTTTCTCCCTTAATTGCTCTGGCTAAAACTTCCAGAACTATATTGAATAGGATTGGTGATAATGAACATCCTTGTGTTGTTACTTATTATGGAGTGAAAGCTTTCAGTGTTTGACCATTTAATATGATGCTGGTTGTTGGTTTGTAATAGATAGCTTTTATCACATTGCAGTAAAGACCATCTATTCTGATTTTCTGTTTTCTGTAGGGCTTTCTTTTTGATCATGAGTGTTGGAATTTTCTAAAGCTTTTTCTGTATCTATTGAGATGATCAAATGATTTTTGTCTTCAGCTCTGTTGATATCATGTATTACATTTATTGATTTGCATATTTTAAGCATCCCTGTATTCTTCTGATGAATTCTACTTGATCATGGTGTATAATTTTCTGGATGATTTGCTGCACTCCGTTTGCTAGTGTCTTATGGAGAATTTTTGCACCTGTGCTCATTAGGGAGATTGGCCTGTAATGTTTTTTTTTGTTGGGGTTTTCTCTGGTTTTGGTATCAGGGTAATACTGGCTTCCAGGTATTAGGGAGTTGACCTTTTAATTTCATTAGAGAGTTTGAGAAATGGTGGTGTTAGATTTTCTCTAAACTTCTTGTAGAATTCAGCTGTGAATCCATCAGGACCTGGACTTTTTGTCAGTAAGTTTTTAACTACTATATTTTTAACCTCAGTAATTGATATTGGGTTATTCAGAAACTTTATATCTTCTTGATTTAGCTTTCATAATTCATATGTATCTAGGAATCTATCGATTTCTTCTGTATTTTCCATTCTATGAGGGTGTAGATTTTTGAAGTAATATTTATGACCTTCTGAATTTCCACAGGATCTATATTGATTTCACCTTTTTCATTCATATAATGTATGAATTTGTCTTTTCTTTCCTTTTTTTGATAAGGTTGGCTAAAATTGATGTTTGTCAATTTTATTTATTCATCGGAGGAAGTAACTTTTCATTAATTCTTTGTATTTTTTTCCCTTAGTCTCTTTCATTAATTTTTGCTTTGATCTTTATAATTTTCTCCCATGTATGGGCTTTGGGCTTCTCTCTTTTTGTAGACACTTGAAGTACAACATTAAGTTGTTTATTTGTGTTCATTCTGTTTTCCTGAAGTGAGAATTTACTGCTACAAATTTCTCTTTCTCTTTGTACTGGAGATCAAACTTACAACTTCATGCTCGCTGGGCAGGCGCTTATGCCACTGAGCTAAATCCCCAGCCCTAAATTTCCTTCTTCTGACTGCTTTCATTATGTTCTACAAATTCCCATATGTTGTATTCACATTCTTGTTTAGTTGTAGATATTATTTTCCTCCTATATTATATCTGTGACCCATTGGTTGCTTAGGAGGATGTTATTTAATTTCCAGCTGTTTATGTCCAATAATGTTTGTTTTGTGAAGTTGGGCACACTGATGTTTAGTTCATATATATGTATTTCAAATTTTATTTTAAAAAGAAAAAAGCAAAAACAGAAAAATCAAGAAGCAAACAAACCTAAAAAAAAGCAAAATGACAAAAAGAAAACAATAGCTTTATATGTTTTCAAAGCAAGATGATAGGGATTTAACAATGTTATATTTCATTATCTTCAAAATAGTTGCTCAAGCTACCAGACACAGATTAAAGCAAAACAGTAAAATGGAACAAAACATTGGGTTTCAAAACAAGACAGAAGGAAATCCCACACAGTTGCCTCATTACACAGGGCCCAAATAGATGCCCAAACCACCCCCAGACCTGCAAAGTCAATCAAATAATGAAAGCATAAAGCTATTCCTTGTGTCCTCTGAATCAGCCAGTTGCTTAAGGTGTGTGTTGGATTGCTCTTCTGGTTTCCTAGCCCCTGCACTGGCTGGCTCGCAGGAAGGCTTATCTTCTTGCTGGCTCTCTTCTTGATCCCCATGGTGGAGCCTAGCTCATGGGAAGGCCCTAAATTTTCATAAGCATGTAAGGCTGTTTTCTCTCTGATTTCACACAGGATGGGAATTTCATTCTGTGACATTCTGTGACATTTCAGGGCATGTTTCTTGGCTTGTGGTTCATCCAGGCTCTGGTTGGTGATGGTCATGATCTGGCAGAGGATGTGGCCAATATCCTGCTTCCTGCCATCACCATCTGCCCTTTGTGGTTGTTCAAGGGAAGTGGCAGCACCATGCGTCCCTGCATGGAGTGGCTGGCCAGGTTCACTCTGGCCAGAGTCTGCAGCATCCCGGACTGATTGTCCATCCTGCTGACATGGCAGGAGCAGGCAGCAGTGGTGGCAGAGACCAGAGAGGAGAAGAGAGCGGGAGGGGGGCAGGGGAAGGTAGCTGCACGCTCTGGTGGCCATGTGCTCCGCGGCCACTCAGGGATTGGGCAGCTGGTCACCATTTACAGGTATTTCTAATTGTTCTATCTTCCTTTGAATTATTCCCTTAACCGATATGTAGTGACCTTGTCACTTCTGATCAATTTCGACTTGTTTCCATTTTGTGTGTAGTATTGTTTTCCACCCTGGATTTTGGTCTATGACTTTCTTTCTGGGTTTCATGCCGTTTATATCATTGGTCTTGGTACACCTTACCTATCTCTGTCTTTTGATAGTGGAATTGAGACCATTTAAGTTATTATTAAGAGATAGCGCCTTATTTCTGTCACTATTATTTTCCTATTACTGATTATTTTTCTTCTTTCTTACCTGTTTACCTTGCGTGGTAAATTCATTCTACTAGACTTTTTGGAAATGCTGGCTGTAGTGTCTCTTTCTAAGATATCATTGAGAAGTTTCATTGTGCTAGTTTGGAAGTCATTAATTTTTAAGGTTCTTTTTGTCATAGAAACACCTTATTTCTCTAACAATTTTGGAAGATAGTTTTGCAGGACATATGTCTGCTTTGGAAGTTGTTTGCTTTTGGAACTTGAAACAATCACTGTAAGCTTGCCTGGCTTTTAAACTTTGTGTTGAGAAGTCTGCTGTCATTCCAATGAGATTACTTGTATAAGTAATTTATTGATTTTATAACAATTAACAGCTTTTAAGTTTCTGTACCTGTGTTTGACTTCCTTGATTTTGAATATAATTTGTGATGGAGGTGGTGTTTTGTGATCATGGCTATTTAGAGCACTGTGCCCCTCACTTACCTGTATGTTTAATTCTTTCCTAATATTTAGAAAGGTTTTTAGGCTATCATTTCAGTGAACAGAGTTTTCAGCGCCATTTTTGAGGTCTTCTGTTTTTTCACTCATTCTAATTAATCTCTTCTGTCATCTAGCAGATGTTGGGTCCATTTTTTTCCATGTTCTTTTGTTGTTTTTAAGGTATCTCTGAATAATCCGTCTCCAACAGCAGCTCTATCGTCTACTTCCAAAACTCTCCTCACACTTCTGCTGCCTTTATTTTGAATAGAAGTTTTAAGCTCCTAGATTTCTCTTTGGTACCTTTTCATGGATTCTAATTTTTTGCTAAACTGTGCCTTCATGTTTTGCATAGTTTTATTTAGTTCAGCTAACTTTTTATTAGTGTGCTCTGTAGACTCATTGATTTTTAAATTACATCCATCTGTTTATATCTTATCTGAAGTCACTGAGCACCATATTGATCTGTTTTATTTATTTGGTTGTATTTTTGAATAATTCAGCAATGCGGCTTTTGATTTTCTCCCCACTGGTGCTCTGTGGATCAGCTTGGGGGAAATTGAGTTTTTGGAGATATTTTCTTATATTATCTTGTCATGTTTTTATTCTTTGTTTTATTTTGTGCTGAAGTTTGCAGACAGAGTAAAAGGACTTTGTTACTAGAATGGAGATCTCTTTAAATTTTGCTTTTTAGTAATGCACTTTGGGCATGACTATGTTTTTTTTTTTTTTTTTTTTTTTGCCTCTGTCCCATATTCTGATCACCTGTGTTAAATTTTGAGGAGAGAATGAAACGTAAATTCCAAAAGAAATCACTTCTCTTAAAATTGACCGCAATGTTGTTAATGATGCAAAAGTAACCTGGGTGTTGGCATACCTAGAAAGAGCAACAACTAAGCCATTCTGTCAAAAGCAAATCAATTCAGCAATACTAGTGTCAGAGAAAACTGATCTTGATATTCCATAAGAACCAATAATGTGCCACCCTTAACCATAGATTTATAATTATAGTATAAACATTAAGACAAACCAAGCATTCATATACAGTAAATATCTATTAAATATGACAACTATGCCTTCATTAAAAGTAGAAAAGAATTCAACAGTGACATAGTTAGCTAACTAGAAAATAATCAAGTTTAATGGTCATAATAGTAAGGAGGAATAGGATAATGATGGGAAAAATGTGAAAAACTAAGCAACAGAGAGTAAGAAAGAGAGAAAAGTGAAGTAAATGATCCTAGTAAAGAGTAGAAGGAAATTAATAGAATTAGATAAAAGTAACAGAACAAATAAAAATAAAGGCAAAAGGAAAAAGAAAGAAGAATTAAAAGGAGAAAAAATTAAAAGGCAAAAGAAAAAAGCAAAAAGGAAAATGTATTTTTATTTATTTATAAAAAAACAGAAAAAAGGGTAGAAATGATACAGAATTTCAAAAAAATAACATTAAGAAATCGTCACTAGTTGATATATTACATATTGTTATCTTAGAAGTAGTTGTTCACGTTACAAAATCAAAGCATAAAAATGAACAGTCAGTCAATGACAGCACAAACTACTGTTTGATGAACTATCAAAATCTTAGAAGTATGGTTATCTATCTTGCACACTTATACATACAGTTAAATGTATATACCTACAGTTGTTCTTTCCTTTCGAGCACTTTTTTCTCTTGATTATAATATCTATTTTACATTTTTGGATCTTACTGCTTTCACTTTATTATTATTATTATTTTACACTAGACATAATATGATATTTATAAATGTGAGTCTGATTTATTTCACTTATGAGGATAGACTCAAGTTGCCTCCATTTACTTGTAAAAGCCTCAAAATCATTCTTTTTATAGCTGAGTAATTTTCCATTACACATCTTTTTCATCCACTCTGCAGCTGATGGGCATCTTGGTTGTTTCCAAGACTTAGCTATTACAAATTGTGCTGCTATAAACATGGGTGCACGTGTATCACTATGAATTGGCCTTTTCAGTTTTTCTGGGAAAATATTCAGGAGGGGAATAGCTGGATTGAATGGAACTTCCAATCCAAACTTTTGAGAAATTTCCATACAGATTTTCGCAGTCACTGTATCATTCTACACTCCCACCAACAGTGGAGAAGTGTTCCTTATTCCCCACAGTCTCACCAACATTTCAGTGAACTATGATCAGATAATATGCATGGGATAATTTCAATACCTTTACTTTTACTTAAGTAGGTTCTATGGGCTAATATATAGTCTGTTTTGGAGAATGTCCCATGCATAGCTGAGAAGAATGTGTGTTATGATGTGGTTGGGTGGAACACTCTGTAAACATCCACTAAGTCCATTTGCTCACAGGTTTAGATTCAATTCTGTTATTTCTTTGCTGACTTTTTGTCTAGTTATCTCTTTGTGACAATGGGGTATTAAGGTCCCCTACTACAATTATGTTGTTGTTTGGCTTTTCATGTCCATTAGTATTTGTCTTATATAGTTGGGTGTGCCTATATTTAGTGCATATATATTTTTATGATTAGTAGCTCTTCTTGAATTATTCGCTTGACACATATGTGGTGACCTTATTTATCTCTTTTGATCATTGTGGTTTGAAGTTCACATTGTCTGCAAACAGAATAGCTACCCCTGCTTTTTTCTGTGTTCCTGATACATGGAATATTGTTTTCTAACCTTTGACTTTTATCTATGATTTTTCCTTTTGAGGCAGATATGTTTCTTGTATATAGCATATTGTTGGCTCCTGTTTCTTGATCCATTCTGTCAATGTATTTCTTTTAATAGGTGAATTAAATCTATTTATATTGATATTACTGATACGTTCTGGTTCAACTTTGTCATGTTATTTTCCTGTTGTTGGTTTTCTGCTTTTCCCCCTTGTTTAATTGCTTGCCCTGTCTGGTGGTTTCTTTCTGTTATTGTCCTGGAAACTGTAGTCATTTTTATCTCTATGTAGTATGTCCTTAGTATTCTTTCTAGGGTTGGTGTGGTAGACATGAATTTCTTCAGTTGTTCTTTGTCATGGAAGTATCTTATTTCTCCATTAGATTCCAAAGCAAGTTTTGCAAGGTACATCAATCTGTATTGAAAGCTGTTTTCTTTCAGGGCTTAAAATACTTCACTCTAAACTCTTAACTTGAAGATTTGTGCCGAAAAGTCTGCTGTAATTATAATGGGCTTTCCTTGATAGGTATATTGGGTCTTTTCTCTAACAGCTTTTAATGTTCTATTTTTATTCTGTATGTCTGGGATCTCAATTACTTTTTTTTTTTGGTCTTTTTCCTTTTTATCGGTACCAGGGATCGAACTCACGACTACCTGCTTGCAAGGCAGGCACTTATGCCACTGAGCTAAATCCCCAGCCCCTGGGATCTCAGTTACTATATGTCTGGATATGGGTTTATTTTAGTTATGACTGGCAATCTATATACCTCACTGATCTGTATATCTGATTCTTTCCCCATATTTGGAAAATTTTCTGCTATTACTTCTGTGAATAGTTTACCAATGTCATTTGTGTTGACTCCTACATCACTGATGCCTATTAGTCTTATATTGTTTCTCTTTGCTTCATCTTGAAGCTGTTGAATTGTCATTTCATGCTGCTTTTTAAAAAAAAGTTCTATCCTTGAAGGTGCTGGGTAACAAAGGAACCTGCTCGATTCCCTGGTAAGCAGCTGTGGCTTGAGTGAGTGGCAGGTGACCCAGGGAGAGAACCAGCCAGCCAGTGTCTCCCAAGAACCTCACCAGGATAGAACTTAGTGCTCTGGGCAACAAAAGAAACCACTTGCTTCCCTGGTAAGCACCCGTGAGCCTACCAGCGCATGGGCTGAAAATCAAGGCATCCCATCCTTCCCCCTCCCCCATTAGCAAATGGGAGCCAGAGGTCTGAGCATCTCTTGGGAGGATGACTGTATGCAATGTAGTAAATATGGGGGATTTCCTTCTACCATCTCTTTGAAGGCAAATATTATTATCACTTGTTTTGTTCTGATTAATTGTATTACTCTATTCAATACTCTGTTTTGATAGACTTTATGATGTTACGTATTTGGTTTGATTTTGCTATACCTGATTGAAAGGACAACTATTGTGAAGATAATGAGATATATACTATGGCACCTATTACTGTTACCTGGTAACCGGTAGTGAAATTCTGTACCGATATCACTGCCTTGTCTCGTTTGGCTTTGTTCTGTCTTGTGCTATTGTATTTTACTACCTTCAAAAAAAAAAAAAAAAAAAAAAAAAAAAAGATAAAAGTTGTATCCTTTCATGATCACTAGCTGTGATCCTGTTCTCAGGGTCTGAAATTCTATCCTCAGCTTCATTTAAATTGTTTTTTCATCGTTCAACAGAATTTTTTATTTCTTGAACATCTCTTTGAATTTGTTCCATGCATTGTACTTGTTTTCTATATTGTTCATTCAAAGTTTCAATCATTTTTCCATGCTCCTGTACTTTTTTTTAAAATCATGTCTTCTCTTGCTATGCTGAGTAACTTCTTTATTAAGGTTGTCATTTCTGCCTTTACATGAGAGGTTATTTCTAATCTGATTTCGTCTATAGCCTCATGGATTTGTTTCTTTCACTTGCTATCTTTTCAAAAATTTCAGGTGGATGACTTTTAATGTCTTTTATTTCAATGTCTCCTGTACTTGTTCCTGATGGACTAGATATTTGAGATTGCATTTTGCTTTTTTGTTTTGTAATTTTCATCTTTCAGGCTATATTTGGTCTCTCAATCTCACTAGTCTCAATTGTTGATAGTGCATATCTTAGCATCCTACTCTGTGGCTGATGTTTGTCCAGTTAGTGGGTACCATAATGAAGAGGAGAGCCAGTCATCTGAATTTCTCCTGAGTCCTATGTTCTTCCTAGGCTGACTAGTCTAGGAGTATTGACATGTCAACTCTAATTTTCTGGTGTTACTATGGCTTCAGGTTGTTCCAGGTCACCAGATCTAACTGGCTATGGTATTTACCTCAGCTGGGACCCTACTGTGTTACTGGATGTCTTATAAGCCCTTTGATTTCCTCCAGGTTGGGGAGGCCTTATTGACACTCTCCTCACCCCATCTGATGTCTCTATATGGAGGAAGGACTCACCTACACTCTTGCCTGGCTCAAAAGTCCTACAGCTAGAGGGGACTTCACTACTGCTCTTGTTTATGTACTGAAGTCCTCTAGTGCAAAGTCTGCTGAGGTCCTCTATTTGGCTGAGGGGTTATTGAGTCTCTCATCAGTCCAGCAAGGTTAATTCACTGTAGTAAAAGGTCCTGGTAGGAGGAGGGGCAGCCAAAGATCCAGGGAATAGGAGGGGAGAGGCCAAAATCCATTAATCCTTAGTCCATGGATGGTAGGGAAGGGAGCGAGGCCATCGTCTGCTGGCCCCTAGGTCCGATGAGGGTGGTGGCCAAAGAGGAAAATTTCTGACTCTAAAAAAAGCAGTGGAAAAGAGAAAGAATGAGTTAATGAAAAAGAAACTTTCTCCATACATTTGAATGAACATTTTTCCCTCAGGACTCACAGATTTGGAGTCCAGGAAGTCACAGTTGTCTACACTGAGCTTTATTGTATATGGCTTTGCAAGGCTCCCTCCCATGACCTCGTTCCAAGGCCCTTCTGTCTGTTCATCAGGCTGTAGCAACTGTCTAAGACACACATAGCTTCTCATCATGACGTGCAAGGCTCTGTGTCCTTCCAGGGCTGAGATTAAACTATGTCTATGTTAGGGCCCCTCTCTGACTGCAAGTCTCTCCCTGTGACAGTCACTACCTGAGGGTAGCACTGGGAGCCATGAAATGAAGCTGTTTTCCAGTTGTTCTGGATCTCAGTTTTAATCAACCCCTTCCTAAAAAAGGTGCCTGATTAAATACTCTCTGGAAACCCACTGCAGGGGTTCTCTGATCAACTGTTGCCTACCATGTAGAAAGAGTCCCTTTAGAGTAGATCCCTATGCTGCTTTTGCAGTTTATAATAGCCAAGAGATTTTCTTGGGCTACTGCTGGCGATCTGGTCTGTTGCTTCTCCCTGGAGCTCCCAGCTCTGGGGACTTGTGCCTGTTAAGACAGGTTCCCCTTTTGGGAGCCAAAGTACACTTACAGACTGCTTCCTTATTTTCTCTGTGTTGTAGCCCATTTCTCCAACTTCTTTGTAGCTTCTAATTTTCCTATTAGTTTTTTTTTTTTTTTTTTAAGACAGGGTCTTGTTATATAGTTCAAACCAGTCCTGGATTCACTATGTAACTTCAGCTGGCCTTGATCTTTCAGGAATCCTCCTGCCTCAGCATCCTGAGTGCTGAGATTACAGGTGTGTGCTACCATGCTTGGTCTTATTAGCTCCTTCTTGAGTCCCAGATCTCTGTCTCTGTCTCTGTCTCTGTCTCTCTCTCCTTGCTTCCTTTCTTCCTTCTTTCTTTCGCCAAGTTGTTGTTTTCCAAGTGTTTAGATGCTGAGTCCTAGAGAGGCTGCATTTTGCTGCTGATTGCTACTCTGCGATTTTGATTCTCCCCTTCCCACTATCATTTTTCATGCACAAAGCCACTAAACAACCTTACTAAAATTCTCTTTAGTCACTGGATTTAGGTTTCAGGCATTTAATGCAGGTCTGGGGGCCTTATAAATGAAGGGGTAGATGCTACAAGGGATAGATGAAGCACGTTTAATAAAAGACTACTTCTGTGAAATTTAAGAAAGCTAGAGATTTGATGTTTGGACTATTTATCTTCATAATCCTTACTCATAAAGTCAGAATTGTCAAGTAATATGCTTTGGACTTTGAAGTGAAGTTAAATGAAAATACATTAAAGGTCAAAATAGGAAGTTTTTGTGATGGCAGTGCTATATGTTCGTGAAATAATGGCATCTTTCTCTGATGTGCACAGGAAGATTATATTTATAGCCCTTTTTTGCTATGGCTCGTGAGCATAAGCCTTAATCTGGCTAATGTGCAGTGGGTGGAAATGACTTTTGTTACTTCCAGACCTGGCTATAAAACATTTGTGAGACCTTCCTTTCTATCTTTCGCTGTCCATATTTCTAGAAATGGAGGACAATGGGGTAGAACAACCTCTTAAAAGAAGTATTGTTCTCTGGGTTACACTCAGAACATACCTATTGCACAACCAAATGGATATTTTCTCATTATCAATGCTGTTGCTTCTTATGAGAACATAAAACTTTATGGAACAGTATTCCTTTCTATTTGTTCAGGTATTGACCTCAGTACAGAGAATAATTCTTGTGTTTTGGAAGGCTCTCAATAAATATTTTAAAAATGAATGAGTTCATGATCTCATGTGGCTAGATAACAAAGGAGTAAACAAACTGTCAAGAGAAGTATAGTGATAAAATTTGCATTAGTAATAAAATTACAATGCAGAAAGCACTATTTTGCCTTATGAAATTAGTATATTTCAAGCATGCTTTCTAAACTTTAAAATTATGAGAATAATATAATGAACACCAGTATACACTTTACCTGAATTTGTCTTCATTATAATTTTTCCAGATTTTCCTTTATCTTTTCTTCCTACACTGTTGTATATAAATCTCACCAGTTACTTCTGTATACTCAATTGAAAATAAAATTTACACAACATTTAGATAATATTGCTAGTAAAAAGGTGCTTTCTTTTGAAAGAAGATCAGTTGTTTTCCTTCATCTCTGGTGGTGGAGAAACTGAAAAATTTGTAGTGTAGACACTAAGGATATTAGCCTAGAGGAAGTAAATTTGAGATTTGGAGTGCTGCTGCAGTTTCTGTCATTATTGTCCTTGAACAAGTTACCTGGATACTAGTCACCTTATTTCAGCTTCACAGTGATGGAAAAATCATGCTTGATGCTAATCTAATCTCTCTTATAAAGGTACTGGTATCTGGACCAAGTAGAGGTATTCAGAAGGGTGCCAATTTTGTAATTTAAATGAGACACACACAGGGAGACAATTCTCTAGTGTTACACATACTGTTTTCATAATTAGCTTAACAGCATTCCCTGGAAGCTGCAATTTTATTATATTGTACATTTACTAAAAAGAAAACAACAGATGAGGCTAGGACAAGCATATCCTCAAGAGCAAGTAAAACACTTATCTCCCAAAGCTCCCCTGCAATTAAGAACCTACCATTTTAAATACAGTCCTGTAATTAAAATGAAGTCCCTCTTTATTAAGAAAAATTAGCCGATCTTTTATATGAGTGGTTTATCAGATGAATGAATTAAAACCTATTATAGTCTCCTAGTCCCAGGCATCAAGGCTTTGGGAAATGACATTACTATTATTATGCTGATATCAACATAGAAAGCAGACATCATGTACAGTTAGTGAACAAAATTAACTATTTCAGCCATCCCTCTCCTGAGATTAGGTCTCCACATCTGTTAAAAAAAAATGTAACTAGCTCTTAGAGTTTTATTTCCTCATTGTGTCCATGAAGATTTGGTTATTGACAGAGGATTCTTCACTCTACACTGAAAGTTGTTCTCTGGTCTTATATTCCAAATATTTCAAATGGTCTTGAAAGGGACTGGTATATTTCTGGTTGTCTATTCCTTCTAGACTCTGGCTATTTTATCACTGGGAAGCTTAGGTCTAACTGAAGCCTTCAAAATTTTTTGCAATGACTTGATACTCTTCTCTTTTTTTATTGAACATCTTGAGACCAGGATAGCCTACTCACCCAACTTTTGTGGTCAAAAATTTTAAAGGATATGTGGATTATTGCAAAATCAACTTCATGAGTGATTTCAATAAACTGACCGAGAATCATTGCTTTTCTCATTGTCCTCACCTTTCCTGAGTTATTTCAACCACTCTCATGTTTTTAATAGGCAAAAATAGTACCAAGATGTCTATCTAGGTATTTACCAAATCAAAAATTCTAATCCTTTGCTCTCTACAAAAGATCAGTCTTTCATACTCAATGGTCTACTGGGTAGTGGTGCTGGGTGAAAGACAAAATTTATTATTGAAGCCTCTAAGGAGATTATGTGGTGAACTCCTGGGCCTCTGTTGTGTTACCTGCATGTTACTTTAAAATAGCATCTCATGAATAGTGCAAAAGTGTATTTGTGCTGAATATTTTATAGACATTCACCATTCTTTCATAGATAGAGTATTTCTGAGTTACTTTCTCCATTCTTAGAATGGAATACACAACACACAGTATTCAAGAAAAAAGAGCTTCATTTTGACTCACAGTTTCCTGGGTGAATTTCAGTTTGTAGTCGCTGGCTTCAAGTCAGGGCAGCATGACAGAGGTGCTTCACATTCAGGAAGTGGAGAGAGAGGAAGAAAATGGCCAGGGAGGGAGAAAAATATTTTGAGGTCATGACCCCCATGACCTGACCCTTTTGACTAGATTCATCTAGTCAAAATCCAATCACCTCCCCAAAATCTCACCTGCAAGCACACAAGGCTATGGGGGAACATCTACTTATAAACCGTAAAAACCATGACAGACTGTGAGAGTTTAATGAGCCCTGTAAGCTGTAATCTTTAGGAATACATCCTAGGACTGATCCCAAAGTGCCCCAGAGGCTCTTAGTCTGGATTCTTCAATACCATATGATTAAAAAAAAAAAGATCAACCAAATTCTATCTCTGAAATAGTTTTACCCTTGTCTCAGGTAAGCTTTTTTTTTTTTTTTTTTTTTTTTTTTTTTTTTTTTTTTTTTACAGAAAGCTTTTTTGGAGCACTAGAAAGAACAAAGGACTAAGACGTCATAATTCTTAACAAACAGGTTGCATGACAGTGTTTTGCCCTGTGTGCAAATTATGGAAAACTTTCCACAGCCAGCCAGCCAAGATTGTATTTGCCACAGATACACTAAGTGATCTTCCACAGTGTCACCTTGTCATTTTTCCACCAACATATGGTAGTTCCTATGGATAGGATGGTGAAACAATGTGGCAGAAAATATACTACGCCAATTCTGCACATAGATCTTACTTGGTTTGACAATTTCTACCAGCTGCCATACTGTGAAGGCGATGTGGAAAAGAGGTCGTCTTAGCTGAGCCCACAGACACAACTAGCATCAAATTCCAGCATGTGAGTAGCCATCTTGGTTGTTTAGTCCAATCTGACCCCAGAGCCCTGCAGATATGAGTTCAGAAAGACCCCAAGAAAAAACCCAACTGAGCTAAGGCCCACCTCAGAGCCACAGGCAATCACAAATTACTTTTTAATCCACTGAATCTAGAGTGACCTTTTGTTATGAGAATTGATAGCCAGTAATAAATGGTTGTGTGACATAACTTGGTCTAAGATTTGTTTTGCTCATAACCTGCTGTTTATTGTAGGGAATCTTTTTAATTGCTTACCTCTAAAAATCATTGCCCATTGGAATAAAATAAACACTAAGTGCAGTGTATAACCAAACTGACTTGAGTAAGTAAGGTAGTTTTCCAGTGCTAACACAGAATTTCAAAAACACAGACTACAGATATTAGGATTATGTGATGTGATCTGATAGTAGCAGAATTGCGGCTTCACATGTTGCCATGGGTTACTGGGTACAGGCACTGCCAAGAACACAAAAGTCAGCAAACGCACATGTTCATAATTCTTTTGTCCCAGTGGACAGACTGTCCATATACATTGTTAAAATATTCCATTTGCCACATATGCACTTAAGATAAAAACGAAGCAGTGAGAGACTACTTCAGCCATTGTGTCCTTATCTTTGTGTTCCTCGCTTTCTGTGCTAGAAGCAACATTGAATGGGTCCAATCCAATATTCTTACCCATCTTTAAACCTGGACCAGGTGGCAATGCCATGTATCCACCTGAACACTCCACAGGCACCCCAAATGTGTTGTGTCCAAGCTAGGCAGATCATATTTCCTCCTAAACCTGTTATTACTATCTTCTGTGTCTCAGTAGGTATTAATCCCATCCACCTGTTCACCAGATTTCTCTACCTCATTCCCCACATGCAAATGCTCCTAGAGGCTCTCTAATAAGACTTGATAAATATTTTTAGGAATTTTTCCTAATGCCATTTTAAGATTTTATTCTATCAGCATCATCTGGTTTCCTGATACATTTTCTTATCCCCATTCAGCTAGCAGCATGTGCTGTTTAAGGTGAAGACCTGAGCATGTCTTTCCTTGTCTCCAATCCACTGTCCTGCGACAGCACAATAGCCCACCTTCCACCTTCCCCTGCCTCCTTGTCCACCATTGCTGTATTGTGCATGCGTAGCAGCATCCTATCCATGTGTGCCCTATCAAAACATATCACCATGCAGCCTGCCCACCATGCGCCATGCTTTCTTGCCTCAGTGCCTTTACTCACACTGTTCTTGGCCGAACATATCTTCATTTTATGCCCCTGTCCATTTTCTGTGTTCTCAGTTTGATTAGTTCCTACTCATTCTTTAGAATATTCCAGTTTTTAAAAGTCCTAACTTCTAGGCAACTCCCCAGGGCAAATGACAACAGAATGTATGCAAGTGGCTTTCAGGACTCACTGTGTTTTAAAGTTGCCAGAGTGACTTCCATACAGAACCGTGCTTTAGAGTCAGATCAGTGCTCATCTCTCTGAGGAAGCCTCGCCTGATCTGAAACTCCTCTTCGCCCCAGATTGAAATGCTCTTTTATGATCTCATAATGTTCTGGAACATCTTTATTATTGCACATTCCACAGTGCATTCTAATGAGCTGTTTACGAGTCTGTCTTCCCAGAGGATATGAGCTCCTTTAGGGTAGGAACTGTAGTTTCACTGTGGCTTATATTATCAGTTTGTAGCTTAGGGGTTGCTAAATACCACCTGCTCAACCACCCTTTCAGAAAAAAAGAATAAATAAGGGAACAACTAAGCTTATGCTAGTGAAAATTTCCTCAGCATTCATACAAAACTAATGTAAGTATCATTCTGCTTTAAACTAGCACTGTATATTTTTTGAAAGACCCAAAGCAAATAGGCAAATAGAGCATAGGACTGGGGTAAGTAATGTTGATTTTATGATTTTCCACACACATGTGGAAACATTGTGGATTTGAGCAGCATCTCTTTTGTATGACAGACCCCAAAACATGACAGATGTACTCAATAATCCTAGGAGAAAAACACAATGAAACAAAACAAAAAACCAATGCTTTCTTTTCCTATTTGGGGCACATCAACAAGGAAAGTCAATGAATTGTACTAGATGGAGAACAAATGTATACTTTTGAGAACTGAAATACTGAAGAAGGACAATATAATTTAGAGTAGACTACTGAGTACAGTGTGAATGTTTAACAACTATGTAATTATAGAAAATCACACAAAAGCTCAGGGAAAGTTAGTCATTCCATCAAGGGTGGAAGAACTAGGATTTAAGCCATGTTTTCTGGCTCTAAGCCATTCTGCTTATAGGTGAAATTGAACACATGCATTGGTGGTAAAGTTAGGCTGATTTGTGTTGTATAGAAATAGACCATGACAGTAAATAAAATATAAATGTTTCCTGTTCCCTATGGCATAAAAGGAGACACCATAGGGAAAATAATATAACAAGTCTAATATAGGGGATAGAATTTTTCTTATTGTTTTGAGTTTAGTAACTATTATATTTTTTTTCTTGGAGTGATTTTAGTTTGAAATATATTTGAATTTACAGAGGAATTATGTGGGAGACCAGATTATGCCACCACCAAATACAGAGATTTGTTGAGCTAAAGACAAAAAGAAAAATAAAATATACTGTTCTATGTTTGAAGATGCTCTGTTAGATGGAATTTGAAGGCACTGCTTTGAGAATTACTCATTTTCTGGCTACTTCCCTTGTATATATGAAATATAAATGTTAATAAACTCATGAGTTCTTTTCTCTTTTAATCTGCTTTTTAATCAGTGGTCTATCTTAGCTATAAACAAATGGAGATTATTACTTTCCCCTTGAATTTGCAGAGATACACAGAGTATTCCCATATATCTTTCACTCAATTGCCCTTTATTAACAATTTTTTCCATATTCTTGGCACGATTATCAAAACTGGGAAATTAACAAAGATAACAGCACTATTTGGTAAGATACAGGTTTTGTTCAGGTTTCCCCATTTCTCCTATTTTTCAATCTTCAAGGTGTAGACTTTCCTTAGGAACAAATGGAAGAGGGAAATAGTCCAAGAAAGGGAAGCACCTGAACAATGAAAGTGAGCATAGTCCAGGTATCTGGAAGATGACACTCAATTAGTCCAATTACTCTTCTTCTAATAAGTGGACAATTCCCCATGATGTTTTCCTTTCTGCTAGTGAGTCCTGCCAGATTGAACAGTAAGTGATAAACCAAGTAGTAAATAACTCATTTTTTGTGCTCGCTGCTCTGTTGTATTTTCCTGCTGCACCAACAGTAATAGAAAATTAGGCTGTGAGTGTCTCGGTGCTAATGCATTCTCAATGACTTTCCTGCCTTGGTCTGACAGTTTTGGCCTCATGGCAAAAATTCACAAATCAGAGAAAAATATGCTAGTCTATGTTTCACCAAATGACTTTTTCATTTTGCAAAGTATTAAAAAAAACCCACCACTCCATTATTATAGACAGCTAAGTTAGGTAGAAATATTATAGGCAGTCAGACAAGGCTGGGCCCTCAAGGAAGTCAATGCAGAAGATGAAAACACACCAGAACTGTGGCTGGAGGTGCATCTGAGGAAGATTAAAGTCACAATGGCCAGATTTACACACTTCCCTAAGGTATATATGGAAGTTTGAAATTATTGGTATCCCTCTTTTGAGGTGAGGGTATCCCCCTTAGAGGTGTGGGGTAGACATCCTCCCCTACCTTCTAAGACCAAGACTAAAGACAAGACTAAAACTATAGGCTATTGATCAAGATTAATGATGTCCTCTATATACATTTGCTATGTGATCTGCTTCTCATTGGATCAATATTACTTAAGCAACAATACTTGTAATCTTACTGGTTGATCACAATTTTGGTCCATGTCGTACCTACATTGTGATTTTGCTCTATAAAGCTTCCTTCAAGAAGTGGGCTTGCTGGCAACCATTTGCAGTCCTTTTCCCTCTCAGGAGCTATTCCTATTTCCAATTCCTTTTGCCCAATAAAATTTTCTACTTTTTAACCTGTTTTTCCTTAGAATTAATTCTTTGACTTGGGGGGAGCAGAAACTCCATGTATCAGGCATCTAGCAGATTAGGAGTTATATTTCCATTATCATTGGAGATCCTACATCACTATGATAACCTGCTCTACAGAAAAGGACAAAAAAGCAATAAATTGATCTTGGGCTTCTGTCTAAAAAGCTTTCAACACAACCTATTTTAAAAAAAACCCAAATGCTTAGAAAGCTCACAAAACAGTAACACAATAGTTGTGATTCCATTAAAAAAATTATGTCACATTATGTCTTTGGGGAAATATAAATGACAAAAGCTGTTGAACTGGATTGAGTACTATGTTCAGAAACAAGTTAACTCTTTCAAAGAGGAGTAGGGAGTATGTCTCCAAGTTAATCTTTTTCACTTATGGATTTTATACAATTTGGCCATGTTAATCTACTTTTCCATTTTTTCTCTGTTGGTGAACACTTATGTCTTTAAAAATGAATCAGGATAATTTCTGATAGAGTGGGATTTTTTTTTTTTTTTGAGACAAGCTCTTGCTATGTAGTGCAAGCTGGCCTCAAGCTCCCTTATGTAGCACAGGTTGGCCACAAACTCACAGGAATCTTTCTGCCTCAGCCTCCTGATTTCTGAGATCACAGAACTATGCTGCCATGTCTGGCTGTTGATAGGAGTTTTTTAAAAAAGAATTTTTCCTTTTTTTGGTTGTGGGATACACATTTTTAAGATACACATTTTTAGCACATTTCAAATATAAAATGCAGCATTATAAACTATAGTTACTATGTGTGCATTTGATTTAGAACCTCAGTACTTACTCATCCTACATGTGAGAGTTTGAACTTTTGACCAACCCTCCCCATGCCCCCACCTACTCACATCTGGCAACTCGCATTCTACTGTCTGTTTGTATGAATTTGACATTTCCAGGTCCCGTATATAAATGAAATCATACAGTATTTGTTTTTTGGTATGTATATATGTAACCCAGTACAGAGAGGCAGGGGTGGAAGCTCTGTGTGTCTGTTACAAAGATAGAAAGGTCACCAATGTCACTATTTCCTGTTGTTGATGGAACTGCAACCTCGCACATTTTTAGTGACATTACTCATAACCACCGCACTGTGGCTGTTTAAATTGGTAGGGATGATAATGAGAGTAATTTGCAGGTAATTAAGCTTCCCCTTTCCACCTGACAGTTATGCAAACTAGAAAGAGATGAACAGCACAGTCATGCGTTGTCTCAATTAAGCAACATTCCATGAGGACGTTGAATAACATGGAGAGGCAATTAAAATGTTAGAGGAAGAAAAATGACATCTGTTACGCTTTAAAAAAAGAGTTTTATTGAGATATACTTTACTTACCACAAAATGCACTCATTTTAAGCATATAGTTCAGTGAAATTTTAGCATACCTTAATATTTACATGGTTGTACAATCATCTCCAGGATCGAACTGTAGAATATTTTCATCATTCTAGAAAGAAACTTGGTGCCCAGTTACAGTTACTCTGGGTCCCATTTCTAGTGTTAGGCAACTAGTGATCTGCTCTGTGTCTCATCTTTCTAGCACATTTTGTATGAACAGAATCAACTGTGCTTCTTTCACTGAAGGAAATGCCTTCAAGTTTTAAAAAATTGACATGTTAAGAACTGAAAGTATGATGAGATACTATGGTCTTTCAATACATGTATATGTATATGATGTTCAAATAAGGGTCAACATAGTTTTTTTGGGGGGTCAACGTATTTATCTCCTTAAAGTTTTCTAAGTATGTTTTTGAGGTTCACCCATGTGATAGCCTGGTAGCTCATTCGTTGTCATTGCTGAATAATTCATTACCCATTATATGGCTATGTCACTTTTGGTTTACTCTTCACTAGTTGATGAACATTTGAATTATTTCTGGTTTTTGAGTATTCTCGAGACTATCCCTAAGATTATTTACATACATGCTTTTGTGTGGACACATTATTATTTTCTTTGGGTAGACAATTAAAAGTGGGATTGCTAGGTCATATAGTAATTCTATGTTTAGCTTTTTAAAGAAATTGAGGGGTTTTTCCCAAAGTGGCTGCAGTATTTTACATTTTCACCAGCAATGAATGAGGTTCCATTTCCTCCACATCTTGGCAGCACTCGTCTCTGTTTCCTGGTATTCACTGTAGCTTGGAGTCGTACTTCCCCAGTAAATAACAATACCGAGCAGCTCTTCTTGTGGACTATTATTGGCTTATTGCTGCATGTTCTTTGGCTAAATGTGTATTCAAATCCTTTGCCCACTTTTAAACTGGGTTATTTGCTTATTTGTTTTCTTTGTCATTTCCTAAAGGAAGGCACTGTTTCAAATTTTATTGTCATTATTCCCTTGCATTAAATTTTTTTTCATTATGTATTCCAAAATAATACATTATTTTGTTTTACTTCCTTTGAACTTTATAAAAAGTGGATTTACATTGTATGCAGTCTTCAACAATAGAATTCTGAATGTTTCTCTAAATTCAGTTT